TATATATATGTGTGTGTGTGTGTGTGTGTGTGTATGTTGTTGTTGTGTATGTATGTATGTAGTATATATATATATATATATATATATATAAGGGTTGTTGAGTGCCTTTTTTTTTGCCTCTGTCACCTGCTGTAGGTTACTGAGTGTGATGGATCCTCTCATCTCCTTTGGCGCACTGACCACTTGCTTTGATGCGTACCTGGGCGACAAGACTGTGCCACTGGCTGGCTCGACCAATCAGATTCCACAGAAAGAGAATGCCTTATATGGGCAAGCGGCAGACACACGTGACGCTGACAGTATCGAAGGCACCGCCACGGGTGAGACAACCAGTGCTACAGACAAGTTTGAACTACGACCGAATACACCCGACATGGTATGTTAAGCACTCTCATGTATGGAGGAGACACTCCACTCACCTACACTGGCACCTCTAGTACTACAGTCATCGATGTACGATAACTGACACACTCTGTGCATGGAGACAACACTCCACTCACCTACACTTGCACCTCTAGTACTACATTCACCAATGTACGATAGCTGACACACTCTGTGCATGGAGACAACACTCCACTCACCTACACTTGCACCTATAGTACTACATTCATCGATGTACGATAGCTGACACACTCTGTGCATGGAGACAACACTCCACTCACCTACACTTGCACCTCTAGTACTACATTCACCAATGTACGATAGCTGTTGCATGTCTTATGTACATACCTGTTGTAGGCACGACTGCCTACCAGGTGCACCGTCTGTGCTCTTGGGTGTGTGGGGTGGGGCGTCGTAGACCCACCTACGCGTGTCTGCCCACCGTCGTAGCGTCGCGGAAAGAGTTCTGCATACGAGTGAGAACATTGCATTGGCTGTCTCTGTAACATATTTCCTGTCGTGTAGGTTGTCATTGATTGGGTCCATGCACATCTCTGACTGAGCTGTTATTGTGTGTATATCCATTCGAATGCTGCCACAATCACCCCCACAGCCCTTAGACCCGTCTGTCACCCATGCACATGTCTGACTGATCTGTTGTTTAGTGTATGTATGTTCAACTGCTGCCACAGTCACCCCCTCAGCCCTTAGACCCGTCTGTCACCCATGCACATGTCTGCCTGATCTCATATTGTGTGTATGTCTGTTCAACTGCTACCACAGTGACCCCTACA